CTGAAACCCTCAACTATTAAAGTTTGTTCCTATCCAAATGATCAAACAGGATTTTGTTATGTTATTAAAAGGCCTACACAAACCCTGCGGCCTGTTCTGTCCCCTCCTGCAGTACTTATGTAAACACTTATGTGTGCATATACACGTTGACTTAGGCTGATATTGAGGTTTTTAATGATAAAAAGCTCCAAAAAAGAACAGAGTGTTTGCATATAAGTGAGTACTTGAATCTTTTCACATGTGTGTGCGCTGGAAGCTGTCGTCCTCAAGTGCTAGAGCTTAATTGCCAGTAATTAAGACAATTAGGGTATCACCGAGCACATGCCGTCTATGTAACATTCAGAAGATTAAACACTATTATATTTCTATTTAACTAAATTAGTGGTTAGCAAGCAAATATTAGTGTCCTAGACATCCCGAGAGTTATGTAAAATGCTAACTATAAACAAATACATTTAACAATTATAAATGTCATCTCAGGAAATCTGATTTCTTAATGTTTGTTCCCTCGATTTGTCCTCCTTTGAGTTCTCTGGCTGGTTTTACACATAGATACTCACACATGACTGCACATGAGTATGACCCTAGGCTGTGACTGTTAAAAGTGTAGAGTAAGATATCATCTTGAACTTTCATGAGAGCAGAATATCCTTTGTGCTTTTTAAAAGAACATAAAGTACAACATGTGAAAGAGAAAGTGTGAGAATATGTGTGTGTAAAGAACTATTGGACAGTTAATCATCGTGGCTGCCGGATTACGAGGCTGAGTCGGGACTTGACAGTGTTACATAACGCTGAGTGCAGACAGTAATCCATACAGTGACCTGGCTGACATAGAACACAAAGGCCCCAACCTGAACAGAGTCAGCAGCCTACACTAACGCTGTCTCTCAAAGTACTGGAAATGTGTCGACAGAGAAATGAATCCACGCAGGTTTAGCTGCTAAACTGTGTAGCTGTGAGCTAGTCAGTCAGTTTACATTGCCTCTTTTTTCTGCACTCTCCCGGTCATTTTGTTCTTAGGTGGAACAAAACTTTAACAAGCTAATACGCTCTTGCTAGCAGTCAGTAAGCTAACAGTCAGTTAGAAGGCTTGTTGATTCTGTCGCTTCTGTATTATTGAGTTAGCAAGACTTTTTAAAAACATAATTCTATCATCAACCTGTCAAATAACTTGCTGCTAACAATTCTTTTTTTGAAAAACAATGGGTCAAAAATATGTTAGCCGTGTACACCAAACACAAACAGCTTGTACCAAAATGAAGCAAAATTGCAACCTTAGCGATCCTATTGGTGGTGCGAATACGAACAGGAGAAAAGTCCTTGAAGGTAAGTATATCCCAGGGGGAAATGTCTTGTAGGATGTCCCTAGAACTATTTGGTTTGAGACTAAATTAATTTCACAACTTTCCAGTTCTCCCTTGGTAATGGTCAGCATGTTCAAGACAGCTTACTAATGGGCAAAGTTCTACATTTTTGGATACAAATTAACCAAAGTAAAACAAAGTATTAACCTTGTCTAAAGTTTTCATACACTTTTCGTAATGTGATCTCATTTTTAAACGATAATTTAGAATCTAGATCATTTTACCCTAAAAAGGTCATCTTTAAGGCCGTGCACCCCTACATGAGGACACAGCAACTGTTAAAATGCCACCAGAGAACATAATACATGTCCATCCTGCACACATGTTGAGGAATCTAACCCCAGCACGCTGCATGACAAATCCAAGCCCTCAGATTTCCCTGGCAGAGAGCACCAGCTCAACCAAGCTGGGTCGATTTCAATCGGCGGCTACCCAAAATGATGTGGCTGCCACCGGACTAGCATGATGGGGCTAAAAATAAACCCTGCCGACCCGAGGCTCTAATGTGGTCACGTACGCTCTGGTGTGTCTGGTTTTATGTGTCCCCAATGAAACCCATCAAATTACAGATGCAAACACAGCCGGACCCCTCATCAAAACTATTTCAGCTCGCTGACACAGTTTACCAAGGCAGTAATTAGAGCAGAGGAAAATGGGAGGCATCCCAGGCACGCGGAGAAAAAGAAAAGACAGGAAAAAAATGAAGCAAAAAAATAAAAGAGAGAGAAGGAGCAGGGAGGACAGTGACAGCTCATCAGTGGGCCGCAAGCCATTTTTATTTTGCTTCCTCCCTTCTTCGCTTCTTCTACATGCACGGATCAAAGGATTGGTGAACCCAAATAAAAGCCATGAGGATGATTTCCCATGAGAGCTATGAACAACTGCATCGTACGCGTTCAAATGAAGCCGCGGTAAAACAGCTGTGGGCTTCTGCTGTCAGCACGCCGGTCGGCACACTGCCTGACGGCGTCGCTCGCTGCTCAACTGGTTCTCAACAACGCCAAGAAAGTGAAAGGATTATAATTGAGAATACTTTATTGGGAGGGGATCCATACTATGTTGTAAATGCATTTTTTTTGGTCTGTGTAAGGCACATTGTTTTAGAAAGAGAGGTGCTTGTTTGTGAGTTGAGCTGATTTTACCCATCTATCTTTTTCATATACAAGATCATGGGATGGCTGGAACCTGTCACCGACTGGGTAAAAGGCAGTAAACACCCTTGAGATGGCACTAATTTATCACAGGGTCGACACTCAATGTCGTTTCAGTCGCCTTACCATTGTCCAACTGAAACCATTTGCACACTTGCATGAAGGACATGGAATACCAATGTCATCCTGACCTGCATTTTGTTTTGGTTCACCTGTTGAATCTGTGGCCAAAGAGAAAGTACATACTCTTTTTGAATTCCTTTCTCTGTGATACACCTTGCTCTCCTCAGTTGCCAGAGTGACTTCAGCTGAAGTGACACTCTATACAGAAGTGCAAATGAAGAGAGACTGGTTTAGGGTAAGAGCCATATAAATGAAACTCATCCAAGCTGATGACTGCAAGCTATTTACTATTTCAAATTCACCTGAGCTGAAATGTCGGAGGCAGCTCCTCATTAAGATGCATTTGATTCAGCTTTTAGAAGATCTTTGGAATAAAAGAATACTGAAAAAGCAGATCTAAAGAATTATAAACCATTGCAAATAACAACTGTATGTGGCTTTAGAAATACTAGGAGGGGTGGAAGGTTATTTCTGCAGGGAATAGGCTGTTGCTGACCCTGGTGCAAGTTGAACACATTGCATTTGAAGCCTAATACAATAAACCATTGAACTCTTTGTTGTGTATGCAAATGTTTAATAAGATAAAAGCAAATCTACCCTTGAGGCTTCTGCTTTGCTCTCACACGACCTGCGTGTGAGGGTTATAGTATATGCCTTAAAATGCAAATGTAATTTCCTATTAACTCATTTTCTTTAAGGGAACACAGAGCTTTATATAGATATATATATATAAAAGCAATATATCTATAGGGTGTTTTTATACTAAAACAACATGAAGCCATGTACAAATATGTTGACGGCATGGTAGTTCTGAACTTGTTATAGTAAAGAATCCACAAACTGAATGATCATACAGTGTATTCAGAGCATCACTGCAGGTTAGTCCAGAGGCTGTTGCTCTGCTCTCTTCTAGATCCTGAGTTTGTGCACATTTACATAACTTTGCAGTCGGCAGGCCTATAGCAAGATAAGGTTCCCTGGAACTCTCTGATGCTTTTGTTTGGTTAGTGAATGCATGCA